CCCCCAGCTCCAGGAACAGGCATGCGATTTAGGCCTAAGCCACCAGCACACCTCACCCTCTTGGCCATGACCAGGGGGTCAGGGACAGACACTGGGGCAGGTGGAACTAATCAGAGCTCCTCCCAGGCTTCTGCTGGGAGACCAGGAAGAGACAAGTGCTATCTCCTGCTGCTACACTTGAACCCAAGAGGATTGAGGCCAGGGCTGCAGCAGCCATTGGTCTCCATGTGAGGCAGAGGCAGAGCCAGGCCACAAAGGGAGTTTGAGGCCTGGTGGCATTCCCTGAGCACCAGATTGTCATACCTGAAGTTCCATCTACCTCCAGACAGACTGGTTCTGTGAGCTCATATTCCTGAAGTCAGTTTATTTTAAAATTTGCAACTGACTGATCCAATGGTATTCCCTGATGCCACCTCCTCCAAGAAGCCTTCTTTGGTCACACCCCCCCTACCACCACATTTCCACCACCCTTTGTGCCGCCGCTCTTGGGTCGACCCTCCTCCCTTTCTGCTTTGTTTGGCCTGGTTCTGCAGTGATTTGTCTGGCCTTTCATTTGGCTCCCATATGACTCCCACCACACCATCTTAGTGTCGTGCACATAGCACCGGGCACTGAGCCTCATGCCTGGAAAGTACTCAGTAACATGTCGGTGTCTGGCCGCCCTTTCTCCACTGGCATCAGGGCAGAACCGCTGGCTCAAGGCCTGGCGCCTCATGTGAACTCTGCTCTTTGAAGTCACCGACTTTGTGGTACTTTGTCACAGCAGATCCAGGAAACAGATTCGGGTACTGAGGTCACAAACCCAGCTGCTGTCAGGCGGGCCCGCCTCAAGGCCGCTGCCCCCTGCCATACACAGTGGATGGGCAGAGTGGGCAGAGTGTGGCCCAGTGACACTAGATCTGATTTCTCAAGAGAAATTGAACACGAGCTTTTAAATAAAATCTGATTTTTAAATGCTCACAACGGTCATTCAGTATGAAACACGAGATGGGTCAAACATGCGTAAGGGGTGGACGTGGTCGGTGGGCCCGCTACGCTCCGGGATGTGGGCCCTGCTGGATTTCTAAGCCTAAGGTAGCTGAGGGTCCTTCCCCTTCAGCTCCCTGCAGGAAGCGGAGCTGGGGAGGTGGCTCAGCCCCAGGGCAGCTGTTGAATCATTCTTCCTGGAGGAAGGAGCTGTGACCAAGCTGCATGTCTCGGCAAGGACAGTCACCCCAGAGCTCCTCCCAGGCTTCCGCTGGGCAGCTGGGCAGTGAGAGTTGCCTGAGGACCAGTGGGGACCCTTCCCCAGGCCAGCTGACACGTGCTGGGATGCAGTCGCCCAGCCTGAGTCATCTCCTCCTCCCACTGCCTCAGGGGTCGCGCTTACTTGCCCCGGCTGGGGACAGTGTGAGCTGGCAGGCCCATAAAAGGCCGGAGCCTGAGCCCTGTCCTGTTAGCCAGTGCTCGTCATGAAGGCTGGACTCAGTGGGGAGATGGGTCCCCAGAGGGCGGTGTGGCTGCCCAGGGTGGGAGGAGAGCAAGGCAGAGGGAAGATGCGTGTGGGCGTGGGCAGCTGGGGAGGGACTGAGCTGGAAAGAGTGAGGCCAGAGAGCACATTCCCTTTCCACCCAGAGCTCAGTGCAAACACTGAACTGGGTGCTTCTGGGAGGGCCAGGGCCCGCTGGGAGGCAGAGGTCTCATCATGCCCTCCTTCCCACCCAGAGCCCCCAGGGGCTCCTGCTGCCTGTAAACTGGAGCCTGAACTTCCAGTCTAACATGTAGGCCTCCACTGCTGCCCTTACCTGATCGCAGTCCCTTCCCCAATATATGCCACACTAAAGAGAGCAAAGGGGGGACGGACGGACGGACACACACACACACACACACACACACAC